TGCAGGTCACGCTTGAACGTGTTTATCGAGCGCATGCATCATTTCTGGCAGGGCAAGCATGGCCGCGAGGGCCGGCAGCTCTACGTCACCTACACAGAGTGCACTCGGAGCCGCTTGTACATGCCCATCACACGCTAGCTTCAAACTATGACGGGCGTGTCACTGTACATGTATCGGCAGGAGCAGCAGGATGGTGAGCGGATGCACGCCCAAAACTGTCAGCCACGCGGGTGTGCACCACAGGCATGCATGCCTGTACAGTCTTACCTGTCTCCTTGACGAGTGCAATGCAGACTGACGCCTTGCCCAGCACTTTCTTCGTGTAGTACATCTCTTGAGAGATGAGTCTCGCATTGTATACGGACAATATGCACCCTGATTGACATACTCCCTTCGCAGTTTTGTACCTCAGTACCTCTGTTAGTCCTGAGTGTCTTATTGGATCTAGGTCAACGGCAGGTTATTCCATGCTATTGTAGTCCCTGTACCCCATACGCACCATGTAATGCCCTTGACTTGTTTAAATATATTGCTTTTCATTACATAGCCATCAATGAGAGGTGTGCGGAGGATTACAACATAAGCTACATATTAATTACAGCAGAAGTTCAGTCTGGTTACCAAGAAGTGCGGAGTTCTACGAAGCTTGGTTAAGGAAGTACGAGCACTACGAACCAGGGACTAGGCTATGGAAGTACCAGCGGTGTGTACACTGTGTACTGATCCGCAGCCTTGTTTCAGTCTCCTGATGTATCTTCGGTGCTCAACCCAGTGAGACCTGGACGCCCAGGTTACCTACATCTCCGCCCATGTTTATCCCGCCTGTCTCTTGTTCAAACCTCTCACTTGCCGCCACCACGACAGGCCCGAGCTACCCGATCATTGCCCATGGATAGTAAGCCTCGGACGAGATCCTCGACCTTATTCCGCTAACGTCTTAGTATTCTTCTGCAGATTCACGAAGACAAGCCGCGTGCTGCCCATCTATGCCGTGTAGCTTCTAAGTGCAAGGAACCTGCTGACTTCCTCGGCTTCGCAGATGGCGTTTCTCGATTTCGCGAAAGCCTCGTACGGCCTCCATGGGGGCTATTACGATTGGTTACCCGCTTGGGAAGGACGAGGGTTGGACGTCGGCCTTGTGTGTGGTTGCCTCCTGGCTTGGCATCTTCACTGTGTCAGTCGTTGTCCTCTGTATCTACGTTCGAAGTGATAGACTTATCGCTGTCAGCGCAGCGATTTACATTGTGAGTAGCTTGTAGCTGCGCTCGGGCTCTCTTATACTGACACCGCCCTCCAGGCTCACCTGATCATCGCGTCCGCCAGCGTGATTTTGGCATTCCCAATTCCATCTCCGGGTCTCATCATCCGCTACGATGGCGTAACTGTCACATTCACCGACGAAGTCAAGTGCACGAGACGGTCGTCAGTATAGTTTAGCTACCGAAGGGCTGGCGCATGTTCGAGCTCGAATGTGGTAGGCACCTCAACGTGCGCGCTCAACACCTCTCTCAAGGGATGCGGGCGCGATTGTCGGATTTTTCATTGTTTCCTTCTTTGTTTTCGATAACAAATGAACGCTATACCGCCGGCTCGACCACCTGGGTCTTGCAGTCGTCGCCACCCAGGCGCTGTCGTATCAGTTATCGTTCCCCGGTGTAAGAACATTTTCGAGTTGCAATCACGTCAGAAGCCACTGCGGCAGAGGTCCCAGCTATGACGGCTCTAAGTGCGAGACAAGACCACGCCTTTCTCTCAAATGTGATTCTTTCTGCCGTACATACAGGGAGCGAATGCTGGGGGAACGAGAATAAAGTAGCTGGTACACATATAAAGGTGGGACATGATAAATAAGAATCGTCTGTCCTCTGCGACGCCGGCGTCGGGCCGCTCGACAATCGGCGGCCATCGATTGTGTGCATTAATGGCTCGGCTGTACGTCAGAATCTGTTTGAATGAGTAGACGTCAAGCCACCATAGCAAGGCGTAGAGCTAAAGCGGGGTACTTGCCTACTAGGCAGATGTGGAAGGGCCAGCCACCATCTCGTGCAAATAAGCAGACGACCTGACGACGTCGTCGTCACTTGCATGTCCTGTGGGCTCCAATGCTAGAGCGTCGCAGAGTTCGATTGACTCATTATGATATGCAGATGATAGACATGGCTGGTGTTCAAAATTCTCCATGATTTCGTTTCGCGACTCTTCCACCGCACAGCTGTTGTTGTTATCGTCGCCTTCAACTCGCTCCGATTGGCCATGGTCCAGAGGCTCGCCAATATTCCCAAGGAGGTCTGAAGGCACCCTGAAGCTGACAGAGAAGCGGGAGAAGTGCTGCGGATCCGAACTGCTTTGACTGGCAGTGTGGTTGAGCTGGCGCAGATTAAGCATGAATCGCTGGACTAGCAATGGAGGCTGTGAATCACAGTGCTTGGTCAATGAACACCTCTGCCATCTCAACCTGTGTAATGCTTACCATATATAGAACAAAGATGTCTGCATAGTTTGCCTGTAGACAGAGAATCAGAACTATCCAGAATGTAAGTATGCTCTGACACTCACTGCATCCCCGAGACTGGGATTGGTGTATGTGAGGAGATCCCAGATGTTCAGAGCTAGAAGGATGCTAAGAGTTCATATGTCAGGCAGAGTGGTTAGGAAGATGATTGGCAGTCTCTAGTGGCTCACAGAAAGTAAACAGTACCTAGAAGGGTGCTGCATAAGTTGCCTCACATGATGTACACAATGCAGAGAGATATACTTGCCATCCGGGAGCAGTACAGCCGAAATAGACAATCTGAGGTTAAGCCGGTGCATCTCCTTGAAGTGCGCAAATGACTTGATCCATGTCAGCACAAGGACAATGATGTCGGCAACAATCAAGCTGCATCTTGTGAAATAGAGCACTGCACAGCACATGTACACAATTTTTAGGAGTGTAAATTTGAGCAAGGCTGACTCACTCCTGAGAAAGGAGGTCAGCACGGAGACAAGCACTGCAACAGGTCTGTACATACTCTGTGCCCAGCTTCAAAGAAATGTTGGTGGAATCAATGCATTCAATGACCTGTGGAGTGTTCAAAAATGATAGTACAGTATGGGTCCATTTGAACTAAATTCAGATCAGTATATATGACTGCATAGGTTGTGAAATAATAACACACAATGTTTGTTCCAATTGGAACCAGTCCAAGCATGAGTACAACGACAAGATAGACATATCTCATCCATGATCCTTGCCAGAGTGCATACACACGCAGGGCAGAGAACACTGCACAACATACTGTTCAGTTTCCTGTAATTCAGCCTGAGCAGTAAGCATGCTTGTAGTACTCACATGAGACCTGGGCTGTGCCTGCAAAGTACACAAGACTAGTCAGGACATATGCTGGGATGCACCTTGTGATGCACATGCAGTGGGTTGTGAGATAAAGGTCTACTACAATAGAATAGAGTGTGCACCTGTGGAGAAATATTGTAAGGCATTCTATCTTTGAGTGTTGGTAGACTCACACCATGTTTGTGTCGAGGGTGTAGCTGCCAGAATCGGGCCGAGAACCATGATCCACCGAGTGGTGATCAATAGCACCGATGCCAGGGAGAACTTCCGTCTCCATCCGACAGCAACCTCTTGGTTGAGGGTTATGAGATATTCGTAGATTACGAGGCCTGGAAGGAAATGAGTCAGCTCTAGTGCCGCTGGGTCTTTGGAATGTCACAGCATACACAGCACCGAGCTTGTCACATAGTTTCCTGTCAGCCTAGAAGCATATGACCAGTGTCAGTGCCATAATATGCATACATCAGAGAGAGGACTCATACTCTTCTTGAAGCTCCTGCTGCAAACTCTCATTTGACTGCGCCATTTTGCGTGTAGTGTTCTTAGAAGGTCCAGGTTGGTTGGTTACAGTCCAATGGTACACTCACTTATATGCTATATATACCACCACCTCTAGGATCAGTCCACAACAAGGACACCACACATCAGCTGTCATCTGACAGTTGCTAGCCATTATGATTGCAGGCTTAGGTACCATGGTAACAGGTACAATGCGGCATCTCTGATGCATATCTGTGCAATGTGATAGCTGCAGTGATTAAGCACAGCCTTAAAATTATGCAAATCTTAATATTCGACTTGAAAATGGGCATGTAAGTCATCCTTCTTCTGGATATGACACTGAAAGATCATCTATTGGTAGCAAGGCTCAGCAACGTGGCAACAATAGCTCATAAAAACACAGAACATCTGACTACAGTATACAGAAAGATCACGGAATGCGCGCGGCAGTGAAGTAGCTCGGTTGAGGATTCGGCCATCCATTTTGCTAGATTAATATTCTGCTAATGCGTCGGCTCGGATTCGTTGAGCAATTGTGCGGACATATGGAGAGGTGGTGCAAGCAATTCCGAGACAACCTGGTCTCAATTATCTCTGAGTCACCAGCCTATCATCATTATATTCAGCCTCAACACCGCTCAGATGCAGGTTCCGAGTCGCCGCTCGCTGTCCCAGGCGGCTTGTCTCCGGAGTATACATGCAACTGATACCATGTCTCAACCTCTTAGATGTGCTGATGAGTACATTCTAACCGACGCAGTGTACAACATGCGACGGTATCTGATGCGGCCGTCGGAGTCGGCGGTGCGGCTGCGACTCACCCGGACCTGGTCGTGTAGTTTTAGGTATCGGTAGTCGAGGACGCGCTATCGCATCTCACGAGCATCATATGGCAGCTGCGGGCACCAATTTTCTTTTGCACGACGCAGGTATGATATTTGGGTGAGCCAAGGCCAAAACGTACGTGGAAGCGTACTCGGGACGGGCGCTGCATCCACGTAGGTAGCGCGCAGGTGCAGGCTTTGTGGCGTTTGCCCCTTTCCCAACCACTTCCGCCGTCCCGAATGTCCATTGGCATCGGTGCCTATTATAATATATCTCATCTTTCCCTGTCTGAGTCTCTATCAATCTTCTCTGCTCTGTCTCTGCTCGTGCGCGTCTCGCGAATCTCTCGCCTCTCGATCTGCCATACCCCAGCCTAAAATGAATGGCTAACTACCCCTGGGCCCTGGCCACCGCCGTATTCGACGGTCCATGCCGTAAGCTGCGGAAAGCACGCTTCAAGTCGCTAGAAATTGTATCACTACCTTTCCCTAGGGCCACAACATCCATCGAGGTGGGCCGAGGCTATCCCGTCATTCATACCAGTGGCCTCATGATTTCGCAGTGTGCAGCGCGAAGGCGTTGAGATACGGTGTCGAGTGGTTACCATCATCTCGGAAAAGGTGAGATGTACATGCGATGTCGATGTGCGCCCATCCTTCAGCATGCGAGTCCGTGAAGGCCAAGTTTGTTCCGTTGTGGGCGCAGAAGGTTGCAGAGCTCGCTTGCGAGCTCGCGTGAATCGAAACGACTACGCACTCGCTCCGCACAGGCTATCTTCTGAAGAACTAGAAAGGCATTAAGAAAAAGTATCACGAGTGCATAGAGGTAGGGGCTGTATATGTTGCCATCGGCAGAGGCAATGGGCGGAGAAAAATAACTGAGAGCGGTGCACAAGTGAGAGGGCTCTTGAGTTGTATGCGGGTACCGCTCGACGCTGTCAGGGCAGAGGGAAGAGTGGGAGCTGATTCAGTTCGGCGGCCTAGACACGGGAACTTATTAAGTTACACCGGACTAGCCACCCAGAAGCGCCCATGAGCGGCTAAGACATGCTGAAGAATTTCTGAAAAGCCCAAAAAATGGCATATGCGGGAATCGAACCTGAGACCTAGAAGTAACCTCAACGCGCCACGCCACTGGGGCATAAGCTCTTGAAAGTAGAGAAACGGAATTATGATACATTACCATTTTTTCACCTTGTCTTAGCTGCTCAAGTCTTATGTTCTACCACCCATACACTATTTTCCTGATATAAGGCATTTACTGGTGAATTACCCCGCATAGTGTTTCGTTAGCTAAGACCACGGCACGGCTAAGACACCGGCGCGGCTCAGACGTTGGCGTGGCTCAGACGTTACCGTGGCTCAGACACCGGCGCGGCTCAGACGTTGGCGTGGCTCAGACGTTACCGTGGCTCAGACACTGGCGTGGCTCAGACGTTACCGTGGCTCGGACATTGGCGTGGCTCAGACGTTACCGTGGCTGGCCGTGGCTAAGACATACCATGTACAATACTACAACCTTATCGTAATTACAATAATTTCCAAGCAGCGCAACCGAGCATGAAACTCAGCGATAGAGTAGCGGGGCCCCTCGCCGAAACACCTGAAAAGAGAGGCTTCCTGCTTGAGGGGCCAACGGCGGAACCAGCCGACAGCAGGGCGTGCCGCTCCTATGCGCGCGGTGTATAAGAGATCGATTCGGGGTTGTAGATGTACTTGATCCAGCAACCCGTTTCATCTTCCACGTAGTGGTGTATCTCGGACTGTCGAGAGAATAAGAGATGAGGTCACGGGAAAACGCGCTGATACTCACCACCCTGATTTCCGGAATATCTTTGAATGCTGAGGAGCATCCGCCTACAAGTCGCTCATACATGTATGCTTGCCTGGAGGACATCAGGGCCTCTCGTGAACGAACGCAATATTAAATACTGACTTTCGTGCATACGCGCCGTGCCCCCTCATCCCTGATTCATCATGCTTCTTGCCGACATCGAGCCAGAAGTTTTGGTGAAACTTGAAGAAGCGGACCGTACGGGCCATCTCTTCATGGACGACCGCTACCTCTTCTTCCCACCTCGCCTTTAGCGCACTCATCCGGAACCAATGAACCTTGATGACTGCCCGAGATTGTCAGCGTTACGAAATGATACAATACACCCTCCTGTACTTGCCTTCCTCCGCGTATGATTCAAAGTTCTCCGACACCTTGGTAGTGTCTAGGAACTCGAGCTCGTCCCAGATCCAAGACGGCTGCCTCTTGCTCTAGCCCAGTTCTTGATTGTCCATGCTGATGTCGAAGGGCCTAACATCCTTGTCCTCAAGACGCTTCAACCGCTGTTCCTCGTTATCGTACCCGAGGGTGACCAGTGCTTGATAGGCCCGCCGGTATTTGTTTGCCGCATTGCGAACACTTCGCTCCTTGCTGTAAATCCCCGACTTCGACCTCGTCGCCATAACGTGTCCTTCTGCCACCCGCTTGTCACGTTTCGCCACCCAATTCCCGGAAAGTATAGCTCGTGATCAGCTGCGTCCGCAGCGTATTCAGAGCGTCGTTAGCTTGCCCTACACGGAGGGCGATCTCGATC